TGTATCCTAGATTTTGTAGTGCCTTTAATTTTCATGAATACAAGTAAATATAATATTAAAACCTGTACCTTAAATTTTTATGATAAACGTTTGAAGAGTATCGCAAACGTTTTTTTTTTTATTTTTTTTTTTTTAACAAATTTCAAGATTACACAATAAAAATTTATAATTAGGGTCAAGTGTATGAACAACAATTTATCCCAGTTTAATCACCTCTCATTATTCAATTTCAAAAGAAGTTATATGTATCCCTTGATAAATATGCACTGAAGAAACTTTAAAATGTGGGGGGGTTAAAAATTTGTAAGTGATTATTTACCCTTCTAATATTTTACTTCTGTTAAAATTTCCTTTGTTAAAATTCTCCCCTCCTCAGTCGAATAACGTGAGGACCAATTATAAATGGTACACTAGGATCATTTTTAAATTTACACGAAAGAGAATTTGAGTCTGTTAATTATCTTTTTTTCCTTTTTTTTCGTTAAAATTTACCTATATATAACCCTTAAATATTTATAGTGAATTGCTGGTTTATACTAAGTATAATAATTGTTATTGCAAAACGTTTTTCAAAGATATGACGCACTAAATTATTATAATGTATTACTAAGTCGAGTATATTGTTGTTTGTATAATTTATAAGCCATGGTTTACCTATCTATAGAAATGCATAATATTATAATAATCCTATATATTATTATAGTCATCTGGCCATCAAGTTCGTGAGCTTTTGACGGAAGTTAAACGTGTGTGTCTAAGCGATTCTCTCGCAATGGCGAACACAAACGACGACGTACAGGGTAATGCAAAGTAGCAGCTTTGTGGGTGTTTCGAGCGGAGGAACGTGCTGATAATTTGGAATTTAGCACATTTCGTCATTTCTATTTTCCCCACGTGCGGTCCACTTTGGCCACTTTGGCCCGTAATCACCAATAGAATATACGTATACATAGGTATATCTAAAACTAATTTACAAAATAAAAGTCACATATCCTATACATAAAGTGATATCCGAGGGCATTGCATGGTGTACGTATATATGAAATTTACATAAATTTGCGTTCTGCGGTCAGCAGTACTATTATTCTTATAACAAATATATTTGCACCGTAATAACGCGACTTACCTTACCTATAAAATATAGTCGCAAATTAAATGACAGATAAATTCGGTGATAAAATTTAAAACGTTTCTATTGTATTGTTATTAAAATAAAAAAATTAACTTTGTGAGGTTAGGCTGTCGATTGACAAAAAAAAAAAAAAAAAAAAATAATAATAGGAAATGAAATAAAAACCGTTTTAATAACTCTTTATCCTATATCCGTATAATCTGTTTGACATTCTCACCTTAAATACGACTCTGACCAATGCGCGTTTTTGTTACAAATAAAAAATAATGTATTTCATATTATAATACTATGGCTACATAAATATCAGAGTTATTGGTTATTCAAGTATAATGTGTATAATAAACTAATTTTACAAAAACTTAACGAAAACCAAAAGAAATTATGCGAACGTTATTCAAAATATACATCAACAATATAGTAAAAAAAAAAAAAAAAAAACCCGTTTTACAGTTCATTATAATAATAAAACTGTATCAATTATAAAAAAAAAAAAAAGCCAGACAATATACTTTGCATCATGGGTGGGCCACTGGTGTAATTAGGTTATACGAAGATAAAGGATGTAGCGTAAATTAAAACGCTGAACGATAAATCAAAAAATAATTGTGTGCGGCTTTATAGACGTGGTTTTTACCCTATTGTAATCGAAGTAACTAGGAAACCGATAGAAATAAAACCCGATGGATCGTCATGTTTTCTTGGTTTTTTAAACAAATGTTAAAGATCGATATTGTCGGAATTCAAGATAAAATGTTTCAAATTAAGTATAGACACACCTGTCGAAAAATTCATATCTATTCTTATTGTGGTATTAGCTCGTTAAAATACAGGAGCATTTAAGATTTTGAGTGTAGCAAAAGAGCTTATAGTTTTACAAAGATTTTTTTTTTTTTTACTGTGCATAACTTTTCTACCAGCAATTTTTTTCCAACTTTTAATGACAACAATGTTTTTAAAAGGAAATTTAACTAGCGAGATACTTTAAAAAGGTCAATTTTAAATTTTCCCGAAAGGTTTCCCAGCAAATATAAAAAACCGAGATAAAACATGGGAAAACCGGGAAAAACGTAGACAAATTAGAAAAATCGGTATAACATTAACTAGATGTTATTATAGAAAATATATAAAGCCTATTTAATTATTTTACTGTAAATGATTTATATATATATATAATTGACAAATCATCACTATTAACTGAAATCCGCTTAGAATCGTTTTTTCGTAAGTAATGTTTTATTGTTGTTTACAGGTATACATTAAATTATCTATAACAGTACCTGTACCCGTGCCCATTATTATAGGACATCTTTTTATATAGTATTTTGCATATTTTAGGTCACTCACTTAAATGTTGATAACTCTGTGTAGGTCATACACAAAATACACAAAATAAATGTCCTCATACATAATGTAACAGATATATAGTTTCGGTACACTCGGAATCAAAAGAAAATTCAAGTTATACGATAATATATTGTATGATGTATGTACAATTGGACAGAATTCTAACTTTATACATCAATCTGGATTTTGGATTACGAAAAAAGAAACTAAATCCAATCAAACGTTCGAATTGTTCTAAATCAGCGATCTTAATAATATTAAATATTAATTTTAAAAATGACTTTCAAGCCTCGAGCACGGGGTTTATACCGTAAAATTATGTATTATTTTATTAAAAAAATTATTTTTTTAAAAAATATATCTAGTTTCTCTTCTCTTTTTTAGACATGTGGGAATAATTTTTTGAAAATTCAATATGTTGATTTGTAACGTTTTGGAATATTTATGGTTTTACAAAATATACATTGCATTTCTTACCAGAAATACAGAAAAGTCATATCTCCGACTAATTGAAAATATTTTGTGTTCATCTTTGATTTACGTTTTGCCAACATTGTCGATTCAAATATTTAATAAATCCGCAAACTAAATATTTTATTTTACTTTCTAGAGTTTTTGATTTAAGAATATACAATATTTAGTTTCAGTATGGGTCACATAAAATATGATAATAGGCCACATGAGGATCGCAAAATTTAGAATTGTTTTAAACACCCTTTTATTAAACATTTTAAACAAGACACAAATCCCTATGTTTGATGTGTATCATGCATACAAAAAATTTAAAATCGTTTTAATAGTTCAAAAATTAAATTAAAATTACTTCTAATAATTTTTGAAGAGCAGAGATAATTTATATTGTTCCTATTCATTTTTAAAATATACAAATAAAAAAAAACAGTTTCTATTAATTTTGGATAAAGAAGCAACATTTATTTAAACTGTTATTTAAGATATGATACTTACAAAAAATGTTGAAAACACACGCATTTGTTTACAATTGAAAGCATATTTTAAATAGAAAACTGTTTTGTTTTTTTTGAAACCTCGGTAGTGGATACCGGTAGTGGTCTTAAATGTGAGTACAGTTTATTGGAATCGGCAAATATTTAAAAACAAAACGTCGACGCGACAACGGGTCAGGGGAGACACGTTTTTGCGTATTGACGCGGACAGTGGGAGTTTGACAGGAAAAAAAAACAGGGGTGGAAAAAAGATAATAATTTCCCTAATGTATACTAAATGTCCAAAGTGGTCGTTATTCGGTCGGCATGAGTGCAGGGGCGACCGACGACGGCGACGACGAGGCGATTACCCGTGCGCTGGCGGTGCAGTTAAATGGCTGCCGTCGCTGAGACGGAAGCCGCCGCCACCTCAACGAAGACTGTACCCCGTCATTACTATTATTGTTATTGTTTCGATTTTTATCCCGTATTGTTAGGTTTTTCATTTATTTTTTTACTTTCGTTTTTTATTCGTTTTTTTTTTTTATTCGCCCACATTGGACAATATGTTTTTTTTTTATGTCGGCGCGCCGTGACGTGCGTCCTTACAGTATTGTATCGGTTTGTTGTTATTCACCCCCGTCGGCTGCGAAAACAAGTTTAAACTGTTGTTTTAGACACTATAGAATATATTTATTACCCGAAAAATTTACATGACCGTTTTTCACGAGCATCCCGCAGGATGAATTCGGGAATTATTTTTTTAGCGAGAGGTGTTTTCTTAATGTTACCTATATTGTTTGTTTGTTTGTTCGCTGTATGCAAATGTACAGTTTTATTCCGATCTTGATGAAATTTCGCGCACAATACATTCAAAACAAGAATAAGTTGGCTGATTACTTTTTAATAAGACATTTAAGACTAAAATGAGGGTCCTAACTTATTTTTGACATTTTAACGTGAACACATTATTTTATTTGTTATTTTGGTTGATGTAATTTTTATAATTAAAATTAACAATGTTGATTATTTAATGTATTTATTACAGACTTATAGACAAAGAAGTACGTTTTAGATTATAAGTAGAGCGAGAAATGTATTGGTTTTGCTGTTTAAAACTGTAGCATCTTTCCTGAAAGAAAATTTGACCGGAGTGGTATTTTGGGGAAGCTTTTTTTTTTGATTTTCTCAAGGGTATGTTAAAGGTTAATAAAACTTAAGAAAAACTGAATAATTTACATAGCGTATAATTTTTAAATTGTAAAAATTACATCCTTTCAAAACATGTGTAACCGGACTCCGTTCAAAATCGTTTTTCGTTAGCAATGATTAATCGTTGCGTACTGATATTCATTAAATGTTTTCACTGCCTTCCTAACTACTCATATACAACAGTGACCAACATCGTGCAAAGTATGTCCGTTTGTTTTTTAAAAGTTAAATTATCGCAAAACAATAACGATTAACTATGATAAGGACTAAGGCGGAAAATAGGAAACACCTTAAATTGAATTTATTTTGTTGATTGCTCTTTAATAAAAATTAAATTAATATTAATATAAATTTTATTAATATTAAATCATGTATTTATCGTACCTATTAATAGGAAAATCTTTATAGATTAATTATCCATTATATTCATATCATGGCTACCCTATTAAATCCCTTTTTAAAACAGTGATAGCTTATTCTAACAGTAATTTGCACAAGTTGCATTACTTTATAACTAATACTACAATTATTATTATAATTTTAAAATTGTTTGTGATTTGGCTTGTTTGTCGATTTGCGCTTATAATTGCTTTATTTACAGTACGGAAATAATTTATAACCAATGAGGTTAAAAATTTACCCTACCTACTGTAGTCGTGTAGACATTAAAGTCTATATTCATGGCCACGATGACTAGTCAGTTTCTATTATAATAACATCGGTACGATGAAACAACAGTGATGTATTTAAAAGGATGGATTTGAGGATAAATTCTTCTGCATATTATAATTATGATAATTGTGTAAATACACGGTCACAGTAGTAAATAGTGATAAAATATTGTAGTCTATATCGGTTAATATTATTATAATTATTCGTTTGATTGGTACCTAGACTGATGGTAAGTAACTTAATTATAAAACAAAATATCTTATCGAAAGTAGCGATATGGGTCGTGAGTGTATATATTTGCAGTACACACACGACGACTGGGAGTGTAATTTTGTGTATACGCCCCTAGAAAAAAATGCTAAACATGTCACTGAAACTGCGTATTTTTGTACAACATTTTACTCGTACTTGTATTTCGTTCTCTGCTAGGCTACAGATCAAATTTTCCCGTATTATAAAAATAAAAATAATATAAAAAACGTGCGTACACGAGCGCAGTTGGAGTCATGGTTTTTTTTTTCGTAGTGTTTAAAATTTAATTAATTTTAATTTGCGCGAGTTTTATAATAATAATATACGCGTCATTCAAAAGTGAAATAATGAACAAAAAAAAAAATCAGAAAAAAAAAATCTAAAAAAACTGTTACGACGTTTTAACTCGCACTACAATACACAAACCTAACTTACGCGTGGGTACGCGTCCTGCGAAACGGCCGGTATTTTCACGTCGTTATTCTCACGGGTTGTGACCGCACTGCCAATATTGATCTACCTATACAACAACAACAATAATAATAATAACAATAATGTAGGTATGTATTTTTGCTATTCGAATATAATATAATAATAATGTGTGCTTTGGGGCGGCTTTGGAGGAACGCGAACGTATTATTATTATTATTGTTGTTTGGACGGAAGCAGCGTCGACCGAGCGCAGTGCAACGGCGGCGGCGGTGAAATCAATTTATTTTGTATTTTCCCTCGCGTTTTCTGCCGATGCACAGCGTGCCGGTCAAACATTCTATAATATTATTATCGACGGTGACGACGACGGTAATTTGTTCGGACGGATTTGTACTATAATACCATACACAATACACATAATATATTGTACACCATACATGACGATTCTTTTATCGTTGAACACTCGTTATTGCAAAAAGACGTAATTTGGACCTTTTCAACGATTTCTGACAATTTTAGAAACAAACGGCTCAAAAAAGATACATTTCCATTATTTCCTGTTGTTTTTGTTTTCAGGTATGATACGACTATCTAATTTTGATTTTCAAACGGTTATCTACGTTAAAAGTTCCGTGAATAGATAGGAAATTAATGTTGGTGTCTGTCAACCTGCTGACGAGATACTCCACTTTTAAGTAGGAGTTGTGAAGCGTTTTTTGTATGGTGGTGGCAGTGGCTTATTGATATAGTGCTCCATATATCTCTTTCTAGCCAAGTTAAAAAAATGGAATAATTTGTCAAATTATTTTAACACCAAATTGATTTAAACTAATATTCCGTCTATTTTTATGGAATTTACAATAAAGTTACCGTTTAAAAATCAAAAATAATAATAATAAAAGTATAATTATTTCAACCCCGGAAAGAAAGGTAACAAAAATAATAAAAATTTTACTTTTTAGAGCTGCTTGTGTCTTAAATTGCCGAAATGTAAAAAAAAAAATTTTGAAAAAAACGAGTGTTCAACAATAAAATAATCGTCCTGAATTGTATGAGTGTATACATATCCATTGGGACAAAATGTAATAAATTGAAAAGAATATTATACCACTCGTCAGTACAACAATGCAGTATATATAATAATAATAATATGATTGTTTATGAATATTCATGTAGACGAGCTCAGGGTTTATAGTGTCTGATAGTAGCTGCAGTCGTCCTTTTTCAAAACGAGATCTGCTAACAAACTCGACTGTCCGAGTTCGCTTAATTGAATAACCGTCGTCAACGAGATGATGTGTGATTGTTTTATAATATTATTGCGTTTTACTCGTATTTCGCATGCGATAATATTATTATTGTCATGTATATAAACGACGATTATTGTCATCATACCGTATCTCAGACGCACACATAGATATATAAAATAAACTAGATTTTCAGATGCTGTTATCATACCAATGCTTTTGGTTGAAACCGCACAAGTCATTTAATTCGACGCCCGTCATCTAATCGTATACTTTTATATTGTGACTAAGCAGTCTTGGTCGTTAATGATATGACATAGATATAATAACCAGTTATCAAAATATAAAAGTGGACATTTAGGCCTATATGAGCCTCGAATAAAAAAGCAGATTGAAACTTCACTTCTTATCACCGGTCAGCAATCCGTTTTCTGTATATTTTTGTAAACGTACACATGCTACATTTTTAGTCTAGTTGGTGCATTTTACGAAAAACCTTACAAAAAATAAAATAATAATCCATTTGACAAACAGAAATCTGACATTTTTAGCAGAAAACATATCAAAACGGAATTTATAATTTTCGATTTTTATACGTGGGAAACCTGGCTGACACTAGAATTTCGGACTATTTCGATTTCCGGTCTTAACTCCCAACATATTATCCTAACAAAATTCGCCTACTAGTGCTGCAAGGTTTTTCTTTATACATACCTTTTATTATAATACGTACTCTCATTTCATTTGTTAATGCACTTGACCGTTGAAACATACTCATCGCCGGGGTAAATAACGACGATGGTGTTTTTTACAGCGTGCTTTATTAGCGTATCTCTGACACTCGACTCGAGCTGATAATACCGTGAAAAAGCCTCGACGTTTCGTCTCGTGCTATGAGTTAATGACGAGTATAACAGTGTTTTTGTATACACCATATCGACCTCCCCATCCCGTCCCTACCATTGCGATAAAATTTTCAAACGAGTGCAGATGGCCAAGACGTCGTCGTCATCGTCGTGTACCTATACACACAACTATTTTCATTAGTTTTCAATTATAACTTTCGCTACAAAGAAAACATTTATTCAACCAAAAGAAACGTGCGATTCGTTTAAAAACCAATTTAGTCTACGTCGTCGTTTATAATCGCGGCTGACGTGAATTTTAATACGCCCGGGCCGTATGTATCTGAAAGTTAAATGGTGGAAAAAACGAAAAGCGAGAGTGGTAAAAACGATTTCAAATATCATATCATTATGAACACACGTCTCAAGGACGTATTTTTCTATATACATAAAAAAACCTAAACGTGGATGTATGTTAAAAACGCTGGAGTTCCTCGTTCTACCCTAGAAAAATGAAGGATACGGATATCGAAGAAAATTATAATAATAATATACCTAAAACCCTACGTATTCAACTGAAAATGATAAAAAAAAAATTATGAAATTTTCCAAAATCTTAAAAACATGTATAAATTGTATACACTAATCTGTACAAACGAAATTAAAAATAGAAACAAAATTTGTAATTTATATATAATATAGGTTGAAAGGTTGAAAGGATACAACGTAGGTTCTTACGAATCATCAGCTACTTTTCGGGCATCAATTGTCAAAAATGATTTTGTCTGTCTTTAAAGTGAACTCGACAGCTTAGCTATGTGGCTGGATAATCATGGACTTTCACTTAATATAGACAAGTGTCGAGTGATCCCTAATATGCTCCTCTATACCTTATTAACTATGACTGCAACCATCCCATTCACCGTATCATGCGTTTAGCAAACGAGAACTTCTTTAGCCTATAATACTTTTTCCTTTATGTCTAACGTAATCTTAAACTTTTTCATGTACTGTAGCTTATGCATCCACCCTTTATGTAAATAAAATAAAATAATACATTTGGAACACTAAGATTTTTTTTTATCAAAACGTCTTTGTAAAATGGATATCACGGATTTTGTAAAAATGATTTTTGTCTTGTTTGTTTGAAAAAAAAGATATTTAAATAAGTTTATAATGTTTATGTAAAAAAAAAATAGAAAATCGTAGCGCGAGGTTTTTGTAATTGTCACAAGGACAAAGACTCGAGAAAATATCGAACGGAACAAAAAACGATATTTCTAGTGTAGGGTCTTCGCGTAAGATACACTGTACGTGTATCGCGGGATTTCACGGCGGTACAAAATTATATTATTCGATAGTTTTGATTTTCGGATTTTTTTAGCGGAAAAACAATTAACCTCCGCTGTTTTCTAGCCCCGTGCGCGGGTGTTCCCCCTTTCCCCTCTGTAAATCTAGAGCGTACGCGCTAATCCGGCCACGGATTCCTCCCCGTGTACATAATTATCGTAACACGGGGTTTTTTTTTTTTAATGTATACCGTGCGGCGTTTTAATTCGGGAATCATAATATATTATTATATTATCACGCGCGCTCGTTTGCGCAAACACTAATCTCGATAGTAATAATATTATTATTATCATATTAAATTTTATAACGACGATAATGAAAATTAATGCGCGTACACGTCGCGTTTAACCGTTCGCGTGACTTTTCAACGTGAACTGATCGTGGCGGCGGTGTTATTATTATTATTATTTTACACGCCTGCGGCACTATATTACACGTTACACCGTGTACCCTCCTCCTGCCACCACCTACATATATACCTTCGTCCCCCTTTCTCGCGTTTCGATTTTCACGCCTTTTGATTTCCCGTGGCGGACACCTGCCCCCCCCCCCCTCTTACCCGAACGGCGATAATATTTAGCCATACATTATCTTCGTCGTCGTTGTTATTATTATCGTTATCACCTATCATATCGGTGCCGAAAACGTAACGACACGCGCGCCGAACGCACTGCCGACCCGACGCGCCCGGCCAAAATGGTTCCGGTCCGACGACGGCGTGGGACCGAAACGCGGCCGTTTCGTTCTGTTCTAAACTGACGCGATTTGCACGCGAAATTAAGCAATAATATAGCCGCGATGATGTTAATAATAATAATAATAATAATAACAATAATAATAATAATATATACACACGGTTTAACGCTAAACGGGACCGCGGGCATTTGCGAAACGTTATTTATTAACGCTTTCATACG